AAATTCCGGCAACGTCAACTTGTTGTTATCAACCTCTGCCACTCCTATGCCCTCTCTGTAAATTACTCCTTCTCTGTTTCTCTTCCCTCACAACTCTCTATATTACTGTGTACGTGACTATGGTGAATATGGTTTACAAAACCCTTAGCAGATGTATACGTATGTATTTATAGGCTTAAGTTGAAACCCTAACCTTAATCCTAAACCACCTACAGGTCGGCTCAAACTAAAACACGATGAAATTAAACAAAACCCTAATAATTTAAAACAGTTAAGTTGCCTTTAAAATAATTAAACCAATTACAAATAAATCAGTTAAAAATCAACAAAATTAAATTAAACAATTAAAGCAGTATTAACTATTAAACAGAAATAAATCCAGTCACAAAAATGTAGCACTTAATGTAAGTTAAATCAGTCTAAGAATTCAACAATTTATTAAATGAAAGAAAACAAGTAAACCAAATAATTAATTCAAATAATACAAATAAGTAAAAAGTCAATTAAAACATAAATTAAATACCAGGACTATCCTCTTAAAATTAGGAGTATTACAGTGGATACTAATCCGTTTCCAACAATCACATCTACAAATGTAATAAGCTTAGCCAAGCGAGAGAATCGGCATGAGGCAGAGAAGATATCTGGTGAGTTCCTTTCATCAACTGCGACACCTGAAAAGACGGCAGAATTGCAGAAGCAATTAAGGGAGGCTCAATTAGCCTTGATTGATAATGGTTGTTGCCCAAATTGCAAAAGAAAGCAACAACCAAAGGAAGATGTGCCAGTGGAGGTTCAACCAAAGAAGAAAGGAATTCTTGAGAGGCTTATTTTCCCATTGAAGCATGGGGAGGAGCCTCGGCAAGGTAATTCCAGCAACAGCCATTTGAAAGTAGGAAGGCCAACTCGGCAAGGTGATATATCTAGCCGATTTCATTCCCAAAATTGGCATCCCAGTTTTAAGAGGCAGTCACCGGTTCATTAAAAGATTTGGGTACAGAAAGGAGCCAATTGATATAGAGTATGAACTGTGAAACCAAGGACAGACTCGACTGAAGATAGATGGACTCGAGTTAATCATCTAAAGTTCCCTAAAGCTCAACAATCTCAGAATGGGGGTCTAACTCGATCTCAGAAGCGTAAAGAACAAAGGAGAAGGGCTGAGGGAAAAAGAAAAGCTGAAGGAGGAAGCAAAGTAGTGCAAACCAAGGTTTTCAGCGTTCCAGATAAAGATAACCCGGATGAAGAGCATTAGCCGACGTGGCCTAGATGTAACAATGAATTTAGAATTCAGTTTAGCAGTTTCCCAGACGAGATGTCATGTAACATGGCATTTGTGTTACCAGCAATGTTCCAGGCTCCATCGGCATCAAATGCAAATACTGAAAAGTATGAGAAGGAAACTCAGCCGATTCGGAATTTATCAATTCTTTCCTCAGAATCAGCAGAGAAGGTGGTTTTTGAAAAACCTTTGTTAGCAATGACTCAACAGCTCAGGCCTTTGTATGTTAAGGTGTGGGTAAAAGGTCAGCCTATTAATTGAGTTTTGGTAGACAATGGCTCAGTTTTGAATGTTATTCCAGCAAACACATTGAAGAAACTCGGCAAGAGTATAGAAGATGTTATTCCTACTGATGTGACAATTTGTGGTTTCAACGGAGGTTCTACCAGTACTAAAGGGATCATTCCTTTAGAAGTAGAAGTTGGAGGTAGGACATCTTATGCGGCATTTTTTATTATCAAATCCACGGCTTCCTATAATTTGTTATTAGGCCGTGATTGGATTCATCCAAATATGTGCATCCCATCATCATTACATCAGATGCTGATTTTTTGGGATGGAGATAAAGTAAAAATAGTAAATGCCGATGATAAGCCATTTGTGGCAAAAGTGTATTCGGAATATGCTGTTTTATATGACGAAGAATGTGTTCCTATTCGGTTTGTGGGAACAGGAGCCGATGGAAGACCAACCTTGGCAACCATGAGAAGAAGTCTTGCCGATCGTGAAATAGGCGAGTTGCAGCAGGAGAATTCCAGGCTGAAGGTAGAAATCCCTCGGCTTGCTATAATTGAAGAAGTTATTGATGGAAGCGAAACTTGAAAGGGAAGCTGCTCGGTAGCAGGCCTTTAGGGCCGCTTGCATCAGGCTTCAAGCGTACATAGCCAAAAAATGGCTAGAGAAAGAAGTAATAATAGAGCTAGGACCATCGGTCAATCTTACTGAGATCGATCGGTTCAGTAATGAAAGGTTGGATGCAATTTAGTTGGAAGACTTGGAGTTAGTGCCAGCAAAGCTCGATGATCTTAAAACAGAAACTCAGGATCCTTTAAAGGAGGTGAATTTAGGCACTGACACAGAGCCTAGACCTACTTATATTAGTGCACTGTTAGAACCAGAATCAGAATTACAAGCCGAGGTTATCGGCATGTTGAAACAATACCGTGACTGTTTTGCTTGGAACTATGAAGAAATGCTGGGTTTATCCAGAGATTTGGTGGAACATCGGTTGCCCATTAAACATGGCTACAAGCCATATAAACAGCCGCCTCGTCGAATGTCTCAAGAAGTGGTAGACAAATTCAAGGTAGAAATCGAACGATTGTTGGATGCTGGCTTCATTCGAACTACAAGGTATGTTGAATGGTTATCAAATGTTGTCCTTGTTATCAAGAAGAATGTAAAATTACGTATATGTGTTGATTTTCGAAACATAAATTTGGCAACTCCAAAAGATGAATATCCAATGCCGATAGCCGATCAGCTGATTGATGTGGCCGCAAAGCACCAAATTATGTCTTTTATGAATGGACACTCATGCTATAATCAGATTTATATAACCGAGGAGGACATTCCAAAGACAGCTTTTAGGTGTCCCAGATCGATTGGAACTTTTGAATGGGTGGTGATGCCTTTTGGGTTGAAGAATGTTGGGGCCACATATCAACGAACCATGAATTCTATTTTTCATAATATGCTCGGCAAGTTTATGGAGGTATACATTGATGATATGGTGGTGAAATCAGCAACAAGGAAAGAGCATCTAGTCCACCTCAAAACATCTTTTGAGAGGATGAGGGCTCATAAGCTAAAAATGAATCCAATAAAGTGTGCCTTTGGAGTACTGGCAGGAAACTTTTTGGGTTTCTTGGTTCGTCAAAGGGGTATAGAGATCAATAGGAATAAAGCTAAAGCGATTATTGATGCTAGTGCACCGAGAAGCAAGAAACAGTTGCAGAGGTTACTTGGACAAGCAAATTATCTTAGGAGATTTATTGCTAATACATGTGTTTTCCCCGCTACTTAAGTTGAAGCCGATGGAAGAATTCAGATGGGATGATATTCATCAAAGGGCATTTGACCAGATTAAGCAATACTTGTTGAGTCCTCCTGTCATGATGCCACCAAGGAAGAAATGGCTGATGAAATTATACTTATCGGCTGCTGAAGAATCCATTGCAGCTATGTTAGCACAAGAGAATGAAGCAGGAAGTGAACAAGCAATATATTACCTCAGTCGAGTTTTAACTTCAGTCGAGTGTAGATATACGCCGATTGAGAAATTATGTTTGGCCTTGTATTTTGCAGCAATGAATTTAAGAGTCTATATGTTGCCTGTTTTGGTTTATATTATTTGCCAAACTGATCTTATAAAGTATATGCTATCAAGGCCATTAATCACAGGCTGGATTGGTAAGTGGGCTTTGGCGCTAATGGAATTCAACTTTGCATATGTTCCACAAAAGGCAATTAAGGGAAAAGCATTGACAGATTTTCTTGCCGACATCCCTTGCCCGAAATTGGGTCACAAGTATTTGATGAGCTTGACTCGGCATCCATATTCATGACTCCATGGACTTTAATGTTCGATGGGTCAAGTACCAGTGAAGGCTCGGGTGCTGGTATAGTTATAATATCCCCAACAGGGAATCAAATTTCGTTTTCCTTCTTTTTGGATTTCAGGTGCTCTAATAACCAAGCCGAGTATGAAGCATTGATTATCGGCTTGGAAATTCTATTGGAAATGGCAGTCAAAGACGTCCATATTGTGGGAGATTCGAGTTTAGTAATTAATCAAAATTTAGAAGACTTTAGGTGCTTGAATTGGCAATTAAGACCATTTCATTCATTGGCAACCCAATTGGTTAACCAATTTCATAATGTGACTTTGGAATATAGACCAAGGGCTATGAATAAAATAGCTAATGATTTAGCACAGATTGTTTCAGGAGTCAGGGTACCGAATGGTATGAAGGAAAGAATAATGAAGATTACACGCCGATCTCTTCCATCGGCTGAAGCAAGAAATCAAATCATGGAAGAAGTCTTCGCTACTGATATTGCCGAGTTGGATGATGATGATTGGCGAATTCCTTACCTTTTGTTCTTGCAACATCCAACTCCAGAAGCTAATCGAAGAATAAAAAGAAGTGTAGTTGATTATGTGCCTATGAATGGAGATCTTTATAGAAGATCGGCTGATGATGGTTTGTTATTTCAGTGCATTAGTAAGTTTGAGGGTTTGAAGATTATGGCTGAGGTACATGAAGGAATATGTGAAGCCCACCAAGCCGGCATAAAGATGAGATGGTTGATACGACGATATGGATATTATTGGCCTGGAATGAGAAAAGATTGCATGACTTATGCAAAAGGCTGTATAGATTGTCAAAAACATGGCCCAATGTAGTGGGTTCCGGCAATAGAAATGCAATTACTAGTTAAACCATGGCCTTTCAGAGGTTGGGCTATGGATTTGATCGGCAAAATTAATCCTCCTTCATCAAAGGGTCATCATTGGATTATTCTAGCTACCGATTATTTTACTAAATGGGTAGAAGCTGAGGAATATGTATCGGTAACTCATAATACTGTTATACAGTTTTTGGAGCGACATATCTTTCACCGATTTGGACTACCGGAAACAATTGTTGCCGATAATGGATCTGTTTTTCGAGCAAATGAAGTATTATAACTCGGCATTGATATGCAAGTGAAAATGGTTACCTCGACACCCTATTATGCTCAAGGGAATGGCCAAGCAGAAGCGTCAAATAAAGTTGTGATTGAAATTATTGAAAAGATGATAAAAGACAAGCCGAGGCGGTGGCATGAGGCCCTTTCAGAAGTCTTATGGGCCTATAGAAACTCAAAAAGGACAACTATAGGGACAACTCCATATCGGCTAACGTTTGGTCATGATACAGTGTTGCCGATGGAGTTAAATGTAAAATCGACAAAGGTTGCCTTGCAACATAATCTCATTCTTGCCGATTATAACGAAGCTATGCTTGCCGAGTTGGAAGACTTAGATAAAGTCCAGAAACTTGCTTTGGATCACCTTATGGTGCATAAAGCAAAAGTCATGAGGGCTTACAATAAAATGGTGAAGTTCAAGTCATTTGCAGAGGACGATATGGTTTGGCAAACAGTTCTTCCACCTGGAAAGGTAGATAAGGTCTATGGCAAGTGGTCACCTACTTGGAAGGGTCCATACTTAATTCACCAAGTATTGCATGGAGGAGCTTATAAGTTAAAAAATCTAGATGTTGAAGTGCATGAAAGGCCAATAAATGGAAGGTACCTTAAAAAATATAAGCCAACTATTTTTGAGCTTATGGAAGAAAAGAAGTTTCCAGTTAAGTCAAAATAGTTTGGATTGTATTTTTTACCTTGTTGTTTGAATAAATTATGAATAAGTATGGTTATATAGTAAAAGCTCAATATACTTTAAAAGCAAAAATATCATAGCAAGACTATTCAGCACATCACAAAAGGCAAATTGTTCAAAACATATTACAGACCCATGAATGTTCAAATTCTGGTAAAATTACTGTGAAATTCTTCAAATTTGGTTTTGAAGTCTGCCCACAAAGCTCGAGATTGATTAAGGGATGTTTCTGCCACTTTCTTATTTTGTTCCAACTTCGGCATTTGTGCTTGCAAAGATTTGAATTTGAGAACTGCGGTCTCCGCTTAAACCCTTAGATCAGCCACCTTACTACCAAGCTTTGTCTTGTCCAACTGAAGTTGAGCAAGTTCGGCTTGAAGTTTTTTCTCCTTAGTATCCAGCTCAGCAGCCTCTTTCTTCAAGGATAGATGCAGTTCCTTTCCTTTCTTTAAAGTTTGAGAAAGCTTTTCTTTCTCACGATACTGGGAAGAGTAGTGATCAATAGTATGGATTGATTCAGCATAAGCAGTTGTCAAAGAAGGCATTTGAAGCTGGAAATTTTTGAAGAAGGTTTGATCATTTAGGGAGAATCCAGGATAACTACCAAGGAAAGAAAGTGTCTTGGCCAGTTCATTTTTGAATGAAGGGGCAAGAGACAAATCCTGTTGTACCATTTGGGATAATATCTGGATGGCTTTTGTTATTTCTGGGGGTATGTCAGAGGATGGTTCAGTTGGAATTTCAGGAGGATTAAGATCAAGTGAGTCAAAAACGGAATCAAATAAAGAGTCAAGGGTGTCAAAGGGAGAGCTTGGGTTGGTACTAACATGATTGGTTGGATTAGCCGAGCCATGTTGTACCTGAAACATGCCATAGCCATAATAAGTTTACAAGAACAGGATATAAAAGAAATGTATATATATAGAAATATATCGTTACTTACTTCATCAGAATCTCCAATTTGTTCACCAATTGAAGTTGCAGCTAGGTTTGGGGAAGATACTGGAGACCTTGATTTTTGTCCTACTGACACTTCAATTTTGTCTTCATCTTCGACATGATCAGTAGAGATTTCCTGAATTGATTTTTGACCTGAGGAGACTTGAGCTTTCTGCAAATAATGCCGATTTAATTATATTCAAGGAGTAATATATATATAAGATCAGGCAGAAAGAAATTACATTGGGAGATTCGGTAGCAAACTTTTTCTTCTTGGAGATGACTTCATCATCATCCGCTTCATTATCATCAATCAAATCAAAATGTCTCTTGGCTCTTGATTGTTTGGGTTTATTTCCTATGGTCTTCCTTCTTGTAGCTTTCTGGAGAAGAAGTTTAAGTAAGGGAATGGTATGCATCAAAAAGGATATATATGATTCGGTTAGGAATATTACCTGAGTAGCCGAGGATGGGGGAATACTTTGCAAAGGAACATAGAAATTAATGTGAGTTTCTTCAGATTTGGTACCCGATTTCTCTGGTGCATTGGAATATGTGCTTGAAATTACATTATCCATTGTTAAGTATCATATAAACCAAATAGAAGTATTAATGGAAAGAAGAGGATAGAAAACTTACTTTGCCGAGAGCGAGGTCTGGTCCTACCTGCAGGAGCTGCTGGAGGAGGACAAGTTGGTGCAATATTTGTTATGTTCTCTGGCTCAAGAGCGGTAGTAAGATCAACGGGTTCAAGGGAATCAACACCTTGAAAATTGAGGGATATGAATTTGTAGGAGCCAAGGAGGGTGGATACAAGTTGACTGGAATCTACAGTCTTGGTAAAATTAATATATGATGTCGACTAGGTTTCGAAGCTTGGATTTGTATGCGGTTCTTCTAGAAAGGATTTGTACTGAAATTCTTGAAGACGTTGGGTAAACCGATTTGTAACATGTTGAATTTGTTCACTGTTTGAGAGCTTAACCCGCTTGTGATAGTTCTTGTTGTAAGAAAAATGGGGAGGCACTGGGATCATCTGCGTCAATCCAAATTACCAAGCTAACTGCGTTGGGTTATAAAACTCAACCCCAGTTCGGCTCTTGGGCAAATTATGAGCAATGGTATTGCAAGGTATATCTCTTACGATCAAAAAGTGGCCCCATGAAGTGATATAAAGGTCAATCTGTTCAGGAGAAGACTCGGCAGTAAGGGGAAACAACCAAGATGGAGCTAGTTGACATTTAGAAAAGGGAAGGAATTGGGATTGAGTCCTGATTTTGCACTGATGATAGAAGAATTGAAAACAATCATTAAAGGAATGGTCTTTGGGTTTGACTCTAGTATATCCGAATGACAGCAAAGGATCATTTGGAGCAAGCCGAATAGGAAGAGCAAGTTCAGGAAAATATGCATGCAACCAGTATTGGTAAAGCCAAAATGGTCCTCCAGACCTTGAAAAGTTGGACGTAATGAGGTCAGACAAACCTCTATATAAAGAGGCTAAGAGAAATGGAGCTAATGCTATGGGTTTTCCTTTCGATAGGGTAATGGTCAGTTGAGTAAGGTCCTTGGTGATCTGAATGGTAGGGGCACATAACAAATATCTACACAACCACAATAGTAAAAACCCTATATGTTCTTGTTCATCTACATCGGTCCCTTCTTCCCCTAACATTTCTTTTAAGAAAGGACCATGTGATTGCACAAAGGGTTTAGCCCCTTTTTGTTCTGGAAAATAAAAAGAGATCTCTTCATCTTGAAGGAGATAATTGATTTCGTCTCCCCCAGGCTTTAATCTCATTAAAAAACAGACATCCCTCAAGGTAGGAGCCATCATACCACAATGCAAGTGCAGAGAATTGGTTGTGGGGGACCAAAAGTGTAAAGAAGCAAAAAATAAGGCTCGGTCAAAAGTAAAAGGGATCTTACTGAGTTGAATGAGGTCATAAATTCCCATCCTTTTCCATTGCTGTCCTTTTGCTGCTAATACACAATCCACCCAGTCGTTCCATTGGAGCATTGGTGGATGCCAATTTCGGACAGAGAGGGTGGGTCTGTCCCCTTCCGCTGTCAGATAGAGAGGTTTTGAGAAAAGGAAGTTGTTGCTCAGCTTGGGGATAAATTAAGGATAACAAAGGAGGGAATCGATTAAAAAACGCTGAGCCAAGTCCCTTAGCATTCTCTGTGATATCGATCAAGATAGTAGTATTCAAGTTGGCCGGGGCTAGGGTTTTGATTACCAATTTCGTCATTTGGGTGTGCGATGTTGCTTCGGGAGAGGGATTCTCTAAAGTCAAATCACTTTGCTTTTGTGATTTTGAAGCCATAGTTGTAAGAAGAATTTGATTGCAGCAAGAGTTTCAGGAAGAGAAGAAGGGTTTGCAGAGTCTTGTTCAAATGAGAGAAGAGGCGTGTTTTTAGTAGAAAAAGAGAGGATTATCATAATGTCATTAATGACAAGATGGGTTAGTGTGATTGGCATTTTTGGGAAATCTACTCCTGATATAACTCAAGAGATTATATGATATGTATGCTAAGTCCCAATGCAATGGGTGTATTCAAATTTTGGAAGCCGAAGGGTTAAAACGGCTACCAAAATTGGGGGGCATTGTTGACACCCATTTTGGTAATCGGGTTTGGGCTTTAATTGGATGTGATATGTAGGGCAAAGTTGTCATGGGTCAAGAGTACATGGGCTTGATAACTGATGGAAACAAGTATTTGGACTGCACGAATATTGGGCTGTTTGATGGACTGATGGAAGCAGGCTTGAGAAAGTGGATTCAAAGGACTGGATTACAATTATGATGGCATTAGTACAGTAACAGGGCAAAGTTGTGATCGGATAGGAAGATTTTTAAGATGTTTTGAGACACTTTATGTTAGATAAGATTTGTTTGGTTAGTTAGGGATTAATCTTTATCTAGGAATCTTAGTTTGAATTTAAAATTGGTAAGAATTGGTTTACAATATTGTGTATAAATAAACAAAAAGGTACGTTGTACTAGAGGTCCAGCACCCTTAGAATCATTATTCTTATTTGTTTGCTTTCTCAAGCTTCTCCAAGAATAACATCCTTACTATTTCTTCTATCTTTCTATCTGTCTCTCTATCTTAAATCTCTCGATCTCTCTCCCTCTATTCTCATTCTTTCCCTTTCTCTTCTTGCTATATCTATTTTCTTCCCCTTTCTATTCTCTTGTTATGTTACTATAAATTGCTTACGGAAAGTCCTTTTAACTAAGGCATTTTTGAATCCAAAAGAGGAATTTATTTGTTCCCTTTTTCCTCGCATCGTCTGAAAGTCAACTTTCTCAAAGGGACTAACGTTGACTATTTACAATCGAATTACATAAGTGGTTCTGGCACGCCCGGCTTACATCAAATTGAGATCGGCTCAATAAAGCTGATTTTAGGGTCAACATTATGATGTATATAAAATTAACTCACTAAAAAAAATAGAAATACTTAAATTAGTATTTGTTTCCATACGTTGAAAATATAAAAAAAAAATAGAGTACACTTCGTAAATACTTAAATTAGTATTTCTTTCAAAAGGTTGAAAATATGAATTTAACAGGTTTAGGCTCGTCTTCAACAACAATTTATAATTTTTTTTTTAAAAATGGGAAAGATAATTAATATTGTTGCACAAACAAGAAGTAAATAAAAAATCAGCGCATAACAAAAAAAAAAAAAATCCGAATACGGTAAATGATAAGCACAAAAAATTCTTTTAATGATTCACATTATTGTAACTTGTTCCAAATGATAAATAATTTTTTTATTAATTAAAACCAATATAATATTCAAAGTCACTAATCTAAACCAATATAGATAGTAACTTAAAGCCATATCGAGTGATTCTGGAATTTCCTATGTAGTCAAGATGCTTTATGAGCTTCAACATGAGTGATCCTGTTCATGAAAAGGGAATTAGATAGTTACCAAACAATCTTATATATACAATAAACAAGTACATATCTCAGTAAATTCTTCAACATTCAGGCTCATTTGTTTGGATATAAAATATATTTTTTAAA